GAACCATTCCAGCAAATGATTGTACCCAAGAAGGGAGTTGTGAACACCTCCAATTTATAGCCCAAGTGACAATCTGGACTTGAAACTGGCATCTGAAGTAGGGGCAGTCCTGTGAGACTGAGTTCTTCACCATGAGGGCTGTGCTAACTACAAACAGCATCAAAACTGAACTGAATCACAATACACCAGCTGGTACCGGAAAACTGGCTGGTGTGGGAAGCCCTCCCACACTTCTGACGCAGAAGTGAGGTTCTGGAAATACTTTATGCGGTGAGTGGGAATACAGAAGAAAACAATGTATCTTTCCCTATACACTGGGTCTTTTGTTTTTCCATATAAACTTAAAATCACTTGTTGATATCCACAAAATAATCTGCTAGGATTTTGAATGGTTTGTGTTGAACGAAGACCAAGATGAGAAGTGACATGTTAATATACAGTTTCCTTATCTATGAACATGGAATCCCCACCATTTACTCAGATCTTTGATTTATCAATTTTATAGTTTTCTTTATAAAGACTTTATATATACTTTATCACATTTATTTTTAAGCACCTCTTTTTTGGTGCCAATATAAATGGTACTATTTTATATTGAAATTTCAATTGTTCTTTGCTGGTATACAAGAAAGCGAGTGATTTTTGTATAGTTTAACCTCATATAATCTTATATCCTGACAATTTGCTATAATCACTTATTAGTTCCAAGAGTTTTGGGCTAATTCCTGAGATAGTCTACACAGACAATAATGTCATCTACAAGACAGTTTCATTTCTTTTTTTCCCAATCTGTGTACTTTTTATTTCTCATTCTTGTCTTTTTTATTTTAACTGGGACTTCGAGGATGATACTAAATAGGAATGGAAAGAGGAGACATTCTTGCCTTGTTTCTGAATGGAGAAAAGACTGGAACAAGGTAATGGTTTCTCATCATCAAGGATGATGGTAGACATATGGGGTTTTGTTGTTTTATTTTATGTTTTTATAGATGTTGCTTTATCAAAGCAAGGAAGTGCTTTGCTGTGAGTTTTCATCATACATGGGGGCTGGATTTTGTCAAATGCTTTTTCTATATCTACTGATAAGAATCATGTGATTTTTTTTCTTTAGCCTGTTGATGTGACTGATTACATTAAATGGATTTTTAAATGTTCAATCAGTCTTACATATCTGGACAAATCCCACTTGGTTTGGTATATAATTATTTTTAAACACTGCTGGATTTGATTTGCTAATACATATATACAGCAGAGAATTTTTATGTTCATAATAGATATTGGTCTATAAAGTTGCCTTTTTAAAACATAGGCTGAGAAATTTCAGAACTATTATTTAGATATATGTTAGTAGTAGTTAGTTTAATTAGATTGTTCTTCTTCTAAACCTTAAATTATATCAGTTGTAATGGGGCAAAGATATTACTGATCAAGGGAGAACATGGAAAAATTAAGAATCAAGGCAGGTTTTTGCCAGTTATATCATCTCAAAAGCATGAAGAACTGCAGCTTATACTACTTTCCTTAGCTTTTAAATTATGAATCAGAGGAGAAAGGAGGACAGGAGCAGCCCAAGAAAAAGAAGGACAAAGTATCTGAGTGATGTGCCAGGTTTTATGAGATACAATAGCCTTGTCTGCATTTTAAACACAATGGTCTAATCTCAAGGTACCACAACTTATATACTGTCTCATGAGTCAGGGATGTAAGTTAGGCTCTGTGGTATTAAAGCATTTCTCTACCTAGGCTGCTCCACCAACAAAAATCAACTCTTCATATGAATTTACTACTATTTTTTCCATTATATCAATTAAGGTTTTTAAAAAGGAGTATCTTATTTATTAACTTTTTCAGTTAGCTGTTTCTAAATTGCCTGTTTCTTCTTTTTGGCAGCTTGTCTAATTGGCTCAATACTGAACTACTGCCGGAATAAATGTGACATAGCTATGGGGCTGGGTTCAGGAAAGCCAAGGAATGGTAGACAATATCCATTGCCTAAAATAGGACAGGGGCTTTATTTGTGGGAAAAGGTATTTGGAAGAACTGAAAAGTAGTGAAAAACATTTTAAGGACAGCTTTGCTGCCAGAACCTGTAATGTTTTTTCTGTTGGCTTTCAGCAGCAGAGTACATTCTGAAGGTATTCAAGCTATGGTTTTTATGTTTTTTGTTATTGTTGTTTTTGTTTTATGGGGGTACCAGGGATTGAACTCAGGACATTGTGCTTGAGAGGCAGGCATGGTGCTGCTGAGAGTGGTACCCTTGAATGTTCTCCAAACTAACAACACTTTTAAAACGGAAGATAGTGTGTTGAATGGGCTTTTACAAGTGGTATTGTGAACTTTATTTTGAGAAAGAGAGAGATCTGATTCACAATGTGGGTGGGAGCATCAAGAACTCTTTGGAGAGAGTGAGTAGAAGCAAAAGAAGGAAAGCTAAATAGTCTCAAATGTGCTAGACTGTAAGAAATGAAATTTTAAAGTTCACAAAAAGCCTATGAAGAAAAGTCAGTATATTCTAATAGTCTCTGGAAGTAACTCTAGTACAATTAGAAACAAAGGAGCTGAGTCACTCCCTTCCTTCCATTTCACTGTAAACAACATCCAAAGGTTATTCCTCTTCTATTATCCTAAGAAAAGTAGAAAACAAAACAGCAAAAGCCTAGGATAGCTAATGCCCTATGCAAAAGCACAGCTGCCAGAGTTCTGGCACCATGAGATTCAATGGGAAGCACTAAAAGCAGAGGTGTCTGACCTACAAATTCTGAAAGCCTGTATAATTGGCCCTCTTTTCCCCTTTTTGTTCCTGTTGCTTCTGCTACCTTTGATAGTGTAGAGTGCTTTTCTGTCACCCCAGCGCGTTTATTGGCATGACTGGCCCTGAGCACAACTTCCTGAGATTTTTAACAAATGTAAGTATTTACTACTTACTACTGGGCCTATGCTTGGCAACTTTTTCCTCGTGGTATGCAAGAACCTGAACTATTACTGGCCCATTCAACTATAACAACTCCATTGGAAAATGAAATAGTTGCCAACAGCTGAGGAAATCAGTGGTCTCCCAGGTAGCTCAGGTTTTAAAAGGATGAAAAAGGAAAAGGAGATTAGTAGGGAGACACAACACTGCCCATGGGTCTCTTCATGCTTCTACTGCTCTCTGCCTACTCAGCCCCTCCCAGGGCAGCTCATTCTCTACAAAGACTTCTCTTCTCCAGGTTCATACTGACCCTTGTCTCTTCCCAATTTAGGAATACTTAGCAATTACTCATGGACTTCTTTGCCTCACCTTCCCAATTCAACTTTAACCACTTAACAGTTCACCCGAACTGTCACTTAGGCAGTGCATTTGTTCACATACTGACTATCATGAGCATCACTTGGGCAGGTGTCATTTAACCAACCAGTTGATTCTTATTTGTACAAGATACATTTGTTTGTCTAATTGTTTTATATCTACTATTTTTTGCATAATTTTAAATTTAGAATGTTGTATTCATCTTTGATGTCTGTTTCTAGTGAAATTTAATAATAAATTCTGGTTATTTTGTTTTACTAATTTGTGAAAAATAACCTGTAATTCTATGCAACAATCTATAAAAAAATCTTGTTAAGTACATTAGATATAGTTTTTTTATACTTCTCTAGAACTTAGTGCTATTCTTTTACAATACAAAATGGCCACATTTGGGACACTGAGAGCAAATAGGAAGGAAGTGCCAAAAGATTTGCAAAAGATAAAACTGAAAAAGGGAGAAATATTAGCATATCAGAGAGGAAACATCTGTTATGAGATGGAAGGACAAAAAAGATGTCTCCTTATTGTCAACTATTCATAATACAGAAATGACAGAACTTGAAAGAAGAAACAAAACTTAAAAAACTGCAATAATAGTCAATGATTATAATAATTCTACGGGTGGGGCTGACAAAGCTGACCAACATCTAACAAGCTATCTTATAGTCAAAAAGTGAGGAAAAAAATATTATTATAAAATATGTATGCACCTTCTGGACCAAACAATATGGAACTCATTTGTCATTTATTCAAACCAAGGGGGTTCAAAAAGTAACTTACAATTTAGGTTAGGTCTAATAGACCAATAATTGAAAAATATGGCATAGCAAAATGCCAATTAGGATGTCCATCACTGATGTTTTCACCATTATGTTTAGTGGGTAGACATTTTATTGAAATTATATCACCCATAAAAAAAAGGAAAGGCCAACGTGACAGTTTAACATGTACTATTCAAAGAAAAATAACAATGCAAAAAGAATTCAGGAAGAGACTAGATACTAATACCCAAATTGTAATGTTGTACTGTATATTGAATGCTTTAAGATATACCATGTACAGAAAAATTCTTAATTGATAAATTGTCATTTTTATATTTCCTGTTATAAAAATAACAAAAATATGCAATTTTTGGTCATTCAGTGTTTAAATAATTGGAGTGGTAAGTGGTTAAGGTGTGAGGCTGCAGGGCCATGTCATACATGTCTTGGTGTATTCAGAGCACCCCATCAAAGGTGCCTCCGAACTGTAGATGATAAGTAAGTCAGGTTAGTGGCACATGTCTGTAACTACAGCTATTTCAGAGGCTAAGGCAGAAAAATCACAAGTTTGAGACTAGCCTAGGCAATTCAGCAAGACTCTGTCTTATAAATAAATAAATAAATAAATAAAGAGCCAGGGATAAACAGTAGTGCCGCACCTGCCTGGCAAGCACAAAGTCCTGAGTTTGATGCCAGCACCAGAAAAAAGGGGGGGACTGGGAATGTGACTTAGTAGTTGAATGCCTCTGGGTTTGATTCCTAGTCCTAAATAAATAAATAAACAAACAAACAAACAAACATGAGTTTTGAAGTGACATCAGGGTAGATATAAAGAACACAGGTTTTGCACATGCACTGTAAGTTGTACTAATACCCAGTCCAATGCATATACATTATGTAAGTAGTTAGAATAGGCACAGTCACTTGAAATTACAAAAATAGCACAGTACCTGCAGGAGACTTTCTATGGCATGAAAGCCTCGAATTAAATTCAGAGCTCCACATAAAAGAGTAAGGATAAATGCCACAATCCCTGATAGAGTTGCTGGTTCCAGTCGTTGATGAGCTGGAAAATAAAAGAAACGGTTAGAAATGAATACCAGTATGTTATGTAGCTGAACTTACGTTAAACAGAAATTCCCTACTACGTTGAAATGGGTCAAACATAAATAATTTTACAAAATACATCTTAGTGATTAAACATTCTTTCAAAATGCAAAATGTTGACAACATAAAAGCCCCATTTTCTTAAACTCAAATCAAATTAACTTCTTTTTCTTTATATTTTTAACAGAAACCTAATTTGCATTTATGATATATAGTGCTAATGTGCTCAAATCTGGCAGTAATTGGATTAGGAAAAAAACCTTACTGCCTAAAAAATATCTACTTTTTAAAAATAAGTGCAAGAATTTGTAAAGGTGACTTTGCTTGGAAATTTGTTGCATAATTTCTTATTTTCTCTGAAAATACTTAGAAAACATATGTAAGAGCAAATATAGCTTGCTGTTAAGCAAAGCTCCCCTTTATTTGGCATTACAAACATCACTCGACATATGTGAAAGCTCATATGTTATCGCCAGTCTGAACTCAATAGAATGTAGTCAGAGTTTTGAAATTCCTGGTTTGGTAAATACTATTTGAAGGCAAAAATGATAAAATACCAGCTGAAGAAGTGACCACTTTATTTTTACAAATACATCCCCTCATCTTTCAGAGCTTTAGCAGCGTAAGATATTCAATTAAACAACAGCTTCTTTTCATCATTATTTTGTGCTTAATAAACAATGACATCCAAATGAAAACACAAAACTAAATATATAATCATTAGACTTCAAAATAGTGACAGAAACAAAGAAAGGACAACAGAAGCACATTTTATTTTATTTAAACCACTGAAGTGTAAAAGTCCAACAATGAAGTCAGTGAGGTGGAACAACAATGTAAGAATGGACTTAAATCTTTGCAAATTATATTCAACCATTACAGTAGAAAGGCTTTTCTAGACAATTTATAAAAACACAAAAATCCACATATTTTTAAAAAAATATTTATTCCTCAAATTCAGCAGAAAACAATAATATGAAGTAACATTTTGTTAAAGTCATTTGTGCCCCTGCCTGTTCTCTCATTTTCCTTGGGTTTTAATATGAAAATAGATCATGTCTCTGTTCATTATTGATATTGTCTTTTATCAGTAGAGAGAAAAAAATCTCATAATTTAAAAATCTCCCCAACCAGACTGCAGTGAGTCATATTCTGCAGCTTCCCTGCCTCACTCTTCATGCCTCTCGGTAGTAAGGGAGAGCTGGCCTCTAACAACAACAGAAAAGAAATCCTCCACACAGACCTCAAGAATAAAGCCAACTACAGCTGAACAGATTATAAGAATCACATCTTTAAAGTATACCAAGCAAATTCAACTTTAAAAAACACAAATAGTATTTGGTACTATAACTAAAAATTCTTAACTTTATACACTTAATTAAGGAATGGCCATTCTTCAACAGAAAGGTATTACCATTTTCATGTGTTGAACATCTATTTAAGAAATGAATAATAAGCCCACATAAATTCAATAATGAAGTTTTTCTTTTGGCCTTAGAGTACTCTCTTTATAATATATGCTATTTGTGAATTATTTAAAAATGAATGTTGGCTTATTTTTATTTTTAAAGGCACAATTGCAAATGATAAACCTTCTTTAACAAGAACAAGGTACATGCTGCACCCAAGGACAGGCTGGCACTGTGCTAAATCACTGTGGGAAATAAATTCTAAGGCAGCAATTTCCCTACTTATGCCCTGCCTACTTCTCAGGACCAGTGGTTTGCATTTTGAGAACGCTTATCAAGAAAATGTTATCTGCATACAAGAAGGTTATACTCTTTGAAGGACAAGTTCTCATTTTAACAACTGAACTAGATATCCAACCACATTTTAATACATTATGCTATGAATGCTATTTTTACTTCAGTAAAACAGACTTTTAGATCCCTGCTAACCAAAATGCTTACTGTAGACTGTAGTTTTATTTGGCACCATGCGAGGCACAACCAGGTGGATAATGTATTTGGAAAGTAACAAGAGGTAGTGTAGAGGAAAAGCAATTATTTTTGCCAAATTCAAAGCTGTGTCACTTGGACAGTTTTTGTTTTTGCTATTATCTTCGGCTATAATACTGTATCTTTTTAAATTAGCCTCTTTGAACCCAACAATGGCATTTTCATAACAAAATTAAAATTTTCTCAAAATGTACCAATGATTTATAGAGAGTTGGCAAAAGTTCTTAAAGGTGCAAAGACCAAGTCCCTTGGAAAGACACTGGTTAGTGTGACTCAAGGAAAGCTGAAGAGGAAAGATTTAAATAGTACAAAGGAAGTGATGAGAACCAGGGAATATCTTTGAAGATGAATAAAACACAGTTAGGTACAATAGGCAAGAACTACAGTGCGTTCCACACAGAGTAAAGAACAAGAGAGTTGACGGAAACAGGAAAAACAAATCATAGCAACAACTACTACTTCCACAACTACTAGTTTCTGCTTACCATGTGCCTAGCACAAAGTGCTTTATCTATACAATCTCATTAACAATCCAATGAAGTAGGGCTAGAATTATCTTGCTTTTTTCTTTCAGAAGACATTAAGGTTTCAGGAGATTAACTAATTTGTCCAAGGACATGAATTAAGTAAATGAACTAAGATTTAAATTCAGTGGCCTGTGAACTGATTGACTGTGGTGCTGGGGAATTCCCACGACTGAATGCATGCTAGGCAACCACTCCTACCCCTGAGCTACATCCCCAGCCCAGAAATTCATACTCTTTACTGCTCTCCTACAAGGCACTGCTCTTGGTTGTTTGTTCAAAGGGATGTTTGCGGAGAGTATGGTGTGTGGGGGTGGGTATAAAGTCAGAAAAGAAAGTTGAAACAAATTGGCAGTCTGAATCAAGGCTAAGAATTACAGGAAATTAGATATGAGGAATACTGAAAAGCAACAGACTGCTATGATTAAGACGATACTTAAAACATATTAGTCTATTAAAGGGTTGTAACAAGATTAAAAGTAGAGAGAGAAAAAGGATATTTTCTGAGTACCTGATCATTAAGGACACACTGTTCTGTTATCCCTTCCAGTGCAGTACTTCACAAGTAGGAAGCACTGGCTTTTCTGTGCTTGAACGTTCTCATCTGTAAACTGAGGGTGAATAATTTACTATGTCAGAAAGCTAGGAAGCTGTCTTTTCAGTTCGACTGTGGTTCTGTCTGATTGCAAAGTCCATGCTTTTCCTACAATTCTACATTAATAAGCTCATCAGGAAGTGCCAAGAAAACACCAAATGAAATGAGGGTCTGTTAGGTCAGTGACAGTAGAAATGGTGAACAAGAAAGAAGAGAGGGATATTACGGAGGTTAAAACTATTAGACATAGTGTAAGACTTAAGTCTCACTTTTACTCCTGGAGCGTGAACAGCCAAGAGGCTTCCACGATGCTGGGCTCAGAAGCTCAGCGAGGCTCCAGGAGCTTGTCGGACAGTGAGAGTCACCCAGGAAGGAAAACACCAGGCAAGTTGGTGTTTATTAGTCTGGCCAGACGGCACTCCCCAAGCCAAGTAGCTCAGAGAGGCGGCTAGCTCAGAAACAGAGGCCATTTTATAAAGGGCTAAGGGGGGGTTTACACTTAAAACTTACAGGAAGAGGACAAAGGCAAAGAATCAGTTGATCTGAGCTAGTGGTCATCAAGCATATACTTGACCGTCATGTACTAATGATCAGCAGAGCGATTATCCATTATTCCATTTACAACTTAAGATTATAATGTTCAGAACATTCAACTACAGGCAAGTAAGGAGTGGCGTGATTTGTGTTGGGTCTCTGTGTTCACTACAGTTTCCATTTAGTTTCCCAGCTACTTCAAAGCAGTTACCTAACAATTCACAATTAATCATTAGTTATCCTATAAGGGATGGGGGGGGGAGCGACAGTCTCTAGGTCGTTTGCTGGTCAACATGGAGTCGCTCTGGTTCAGTCAGGCTCTTACAATAGGGCCGGGGATTTTGGCTCAATGGTTCAGCCGCCTGCCTCGCAAGTGCAAGGGCCCAAGTTCGATCCCCGATACCAAAAAAAAAAAAAAACCAAAAAACTATTAGATGTGGCAACTAATTAGGTGTGAGAAATCAAAGAAAATGCTGAGGTTTTTATGTCTGGTGATTGGAAAGATGAGGGTACTGGCAATTGACCCACACAAAGAAACTCTGTGATGAGGAATGGGACGTTTTGGATACATCAGATTTGAGGTGATGGTGCAGAATACTGAATAAGCAAATGAAAGCAAAAAGTATTAGAGCTGGAAAACAGGTGAGGTCTGCATTTGGAGGGAAGGGTGAAAGGGGGTTTGTGTGCCCTTTCGGGTGTCCCTTTCCAATTATGCCACTCATGCACCGAGAGGTCCGGCAGGAGATCTTTATTGTAGGGAGGTGAGCAGGAGGCAGGAAGGCAGAGAGAGAGAGAGAGAGAGACAGAGAGAGGAGGAGGAAGAAGCAGAAGGAGAGAGAAGAACAAAGAAAGGAAGGTCCTTGTATCAGTTTGGGGGTGGGCTATTGTTTATTTATAAGGAGTGAGTTACTTTTAACCTATCACAGGCCAGATTGCTTTTATGGGCCCAGTTCTGCAGACACAGGTTTCAACTTTCCTGGACCACTGTGGCCTTGGGGGGGAGGGAAACCAGAGATAAGGGCATGAGGTCATTTTAGGAGCCAAGATGTACCAGGAGAATGCAGCCTGTGAGGCGGCGCCACAGCATACTTTAACATGATCAATTCCCTAACAAAGGGTTTAGATGAGATCACCCATGGAAAAAGCAGGCCAATGGCACATCAATTGCAGACAGTGCCATTAAGAGAAAGTAGAGGAGTAAGGAGACAGTAAAGCCTAGAAATAGGGAGACCATTAAAAAAGAAAGAGGTGGCTCAACAGTAACTATTGACAAGCAAAAAACCCCAAATTTGAAAAGAAAAAGGTTTATAAAGAGTCTTTAAATTTGTTAATCATGAGATCAGGGGGC